AAGGACTTCATGAAGGAAAATGCCTAAGTCAAGTTGCAGAGGCGACACTTGCGATGGCGAAGTTACGGAGGCACTTTGTCTCAACACTGCCATTCCAAGTATTATCGATGTCGCCGCTATTCCAAGCATTGTCGGTGTCACCGCCACCTGGAGTTGTTGAGGGAAGGAGAGAACCAAAACAACTAAGTTGCAGAGGCATTACTTGTAGCACCCAAGTTGCAAAGGCACTTTGTCGACGCCACCATCTCTAATATTGTCAGTTTTTCCATTTGAATTTTCTGCGGGAAATGACTACCGCAGCAACTACAGCTGCCGCAACCAAGTTACGGAGGGAACATCCCACCAAGGTGATAGCAGTCTTTAGGAAAAGCTTTCCATCTGCAAGTAGAGGCTAATGCTTAGCGCTGATAGCAGGTCCCAAGACTTAATGGTTGGAGCTGATAGCAGGCCCAGAGATACTAGTTTGCTGTGGCAACCCCGCGAAGATGGGAGCAGGGCAACCCGAGTGTAAAGAACTCCCTTTCCATTTACCCAGGTCACGAACCTGCCTTAGTCGCACAGGTAGGACTAAGGAAGCCCCCTTGGGCTTGGTACTAAGGCACAACATGGTTGATAGCAGGCTTGACTATGGCCTTTGCCTTGGAAAGTTGTGGAGTTTGTGGTTAAGTGGCTAAGGGTAGAGGCTTTGCTGAGGTAAGAACGAACATAGTTGATCACAGATTAATCGAGTCTTGAGAATGCATGTACTGGTCAAGTATAACTGAGAAGGCAAGTACAGCAGCAAGGTTTACCGCTGCAAGTGCACTTGTTGAGGCTCAAAAGGGAATTATAGCGCGAAATACTCCCATCGCAACTACACTTGATGAGGCTAAAAACAAGGCAGTTGCGGAAGCAAACATATAGTACACAGTACATGCAGAGGGACACGTGGCATCTTCAACCTGGTGACTCAAGGTAGGATATTCCATATGATTCTCTGGGACACATGTTCTCTCTCTATATGGTCACTTGGTGTCCTCTTGGTACCAAGGAAAAGCCTATAAATAGGATCCATTTCCCAAGGTTCAAAAAGATGAATTTTAGGAATTTGTGGGAGATGCTGCCTATTTTGACACTACCATGCATTTCTTCTTGAGCTACATGCATCACTCTCACCAAGCTGCTCACTCACCAACTTCCCAGACAATTGTTACTGCTCATCCTCCAGCCATTCCACCATTGTTGGACCATTAGTATAGTTTTTCCTCTCTAATCACCTTCCTAACCTTGAACCCCTTTACATTTCTGGTGACTCCGCTAGAGAGGCTGCTTTGTTGATGGTTCATACCCGTAGTCGCTTACACACTTCACTGGAAAAGATAGCAGAGGATGAAGTTACACAACCCCCACGGCAGCAAGGCTTTTCCAATGGCAGAGCGGCACATGCTGAGGACCATGACCACAGTCTTGTGGTTGAGGCGATCCAGTCACTCCAGGATATGCAGAGGGAGATCCTGGTAGCTTTGCAAACTCTCACTGAGGCTATTATGGCCATGGTGTCCAAACCAACTCTAGCCCAAGCACCTCTGCCTGTAATAGTCCCAAACCCAGTAGCTAACTTGTTCTTTGGGAATCAAGCTCTGATCCAGGTACCTCCAATGGTACCCTAAGTGAACGATACAATTGTTGGTTCAGCTACCCAGGAGCAGACTGGACCATTCCAGCCTACCCACTTTGTTACTCTAGTCGATGTACAAGCTATGGTCGAGCAAAAGCGCAACAAAAAGCTACTACCATCTCTTCCCGACCCAGATATGAAGCCCCCATACTCTCAGGAGATATTGGTTATGCCATACCCAACTGGGTATATAGTACCCAAGTTTATCAAGTTTGATGGGAAGCCAGACAATGCCAGAGAACATGTGGTGAAGTTCATTGAAACTCTTAGTGTCCATGGCAGTGACCACTCTCTGTACCTTCGGGAGTTATCCAAATCACTTACCGAAATGGCTTATAGTTGGTACGTGAACTTGGCCCCCAACTCGATCAAGAGTTGAGAGGAGATGGTGAACAAGTTCCATACGAAGTTCTTTCAAGTCCAAGAGAAAGTGACAACCCTTATGCTCGGGCAAGATATCTAAAAAGAAGGTGAGGATATACTGGACTATGTCAAGCGATTCTAGGATAAGGCTATTGACTGTCATGAACCAATAGATGAGGCCCACTTAGTCAGCATATGTATAGAAGGTGCCGTACACGACTACAAAATTTTCTTGGTAAACCATAATATGCCTACCTTTTTATCCTTGGTTAAGGCAGCTAAGAACCTCAGTAGCACTGGCCTCTGCATAGATCCCGCGATAGTCACCGCTACTCCCGCAGTAGCAGAGTTACTGCGGTAACCTCTGCAGGAAAGAGCCGCTCGCATGGGGAGGCGTCATCCTCTCAGAAGAGAAAGAGTTATGAGGACAGAAATCTATATCCTTGCAGCCTTGAGAATGTTAAGGCCTTGGTTAAAGAATGGGTAGCTGATGGTGAACTTACTTTGCTTCCGGTTAATGTCCCTCCAACCAAGAAGGACAAAGAAAGCCCAGATTTTGTATCTATCATAGAGCCACCAGACACTCTACTAGGGACCATTGGACTTTGAAAAGTATCTTCAAGAAGAAAGTTGACGCAAATGAGCTAAAGTTCAAAGATGCCAGTAACCGTGATATAAGGAGGGACTCTTATCCTAACCACAAGAAGAATGGGAAGAATGTATATATGATTAGCTATCTTGGGCTTATGCGCGATCAAGTGCACATGGTGTCCTATTATGATGAGTTAGAAGAAATTGTAATCGGCCAGCACCCTAAAACAATACCTGCGGAGGCAAAACTCGCAGAGGATGCTCATGCTCTAGCCTTGCAAAATTCTGTCAAGTTTCGTACCTTCTTTGACCAACTGAGGCTGAGCCAAGCTAGGTTAGAAGCAACAAAGGCCCTCATCAACATCTCTGAAGTGCACCATACTGAAGTTGTTGAGGCTAAGGAGTCGGTGCATCCAGGAAGATTATGGGGCCCTTACTTTTTCAGAGGTAGACATAGCATACCCATTTTTTCATAACCGTCTTCTTTTTATCACAGCTTACATCAATGATGTGGAGTTCAAGCGTGCTTTCCTAGATGGCGGAGCATCCATAAACATCATCACTACCGACACCTTTATGAAAGCTGGCATCCTAAAGTCCAGGATGGTCCGCCAACCCATTACTGTGACGGGTTTTGGTGGTGAGAAAAAGGCTACTAAGGGCCATGTTGTAGTGGACTTAGCAGTTAGCGAGATCCGCTCTGCCATTAAGTTCCATGTAATTGAAGCTGACACAAATTACCACATGATATTTGGCAGAGCTTGGATGCACCGATATAGGGCTATCCAGTCGAGTTATCACGAATGTGTAAAGGCAAAGTTGATGAAGCGTACAGTGACCATAAATGCGTCTGAAAAGCCATTTGGAGTAGAAGAGGCACATTATTTTGATGCAATTTTCTTTATTAAGTTATCAGCGGATAAAACTTCAAGGACTGGTAAGGTTACAGGGGTAAAATTGCCAAAGTGGGAAGACATTCGAGATGCAAAAGGCTGTTTCAGAAAGCAGTGGGCAAAAAAGGAGCAGCAAGTCTACAAATCCTTCGCCCAAGATTGTTAAGGTACGCAAGGGCAGCAAGACAGTTTATTACCTATGATGATCTTGGGGGACCAGACTTCATACCTTGTGAGGATGACCCCGAGGTAAATAAATGTGATGGTGATGAGTCCCAAGAAGGGTTGGTGGAGACACCTGAGCCCGCCCCTGAATGCATGCAAGATAGACCCAAACTGTAGTAGAAGGTAATTGCTGAGGTCAACCTCAACAACTTACCAGGGTAGAGCAAGCCCATGTTTATCAGCGCTGCAATGGCTCTAACAGCTAAGGCAGAATTGATAACACTACTGAAGTGGTACAGTGACGTATTTGCTTGGACATACGATGAGACGCTTGGTCTTGACCCATCTCTTGTCACCCATCACCTAGACACTTTCCCCAACTCTAAGCCAATAAAGCAGCGTGCTCAAAAGTATCACCTTGATCTTGAGACAAAGATTAAAAAAGAGGTAGAAAAGTTGCAGAGGGCCAACTTTATTGAGCCTATACAATACCCAACTTGGCTAGCAAATATTGTGCTTGTGAAGAAAAAGAATGGCCAAATCAAGGTCTGCGTAGAGTTTCGCAACCTAAACAAGGCTTGCCCAAAAGATGAGTTTCCATTGCCCCATATTAACACACTTGTTGATTTTACTGCGGGCCATCAAATGTTCTCCTTCATGGATGGGCTCAGTGGTTATAACCAGATCAAAATGGCACCAGAAGATGCAGAAATTACAGCTTTCAAAATGCCCTTGGGACTATACAGTGATGCCCTTCGGTTTGAAAAACATGGGGGCAACCTATCAACGAGCTATGATTGCAGTGTTCCATGACATTTTACATTATGAAGTGGAAGTGTATGTAGATGATCTGGTAGAAAAGTCTACTAAAGCAAATCGGCACCTTTGTGACTCGGAAAAAGTTTTTCAGCGTTGTCAAAAATTCTGCTTAAAAATGAACCCTCTCAAGTGTGCCTTTGGAGTTACCGCAGGCAAGTTCATTGGCTTTCTGGTACACCAACAGGGAATTGAACTAGATAGGGATAAGATCAAGTCAATCATGGAGATGCCACCGCCGCACTCTCAAAAGGCCTTGAAGAAATTCCTAGGCAATGTGACATACCTCAGGAGATTCATTCCAGTCCTTATTAAGATAACCTTTTCCTTTAGGACACTGTGGAAAGGGAATCACAAGTTTGAATGGTTGCAAGAACACCAGCATGCATTTGATATGGTAAAGAAAGCACTTGCCTTTCCACTTACAATGATTGCCCCATAATCTGCAAAACCTCTACTATTGTACCTGACCTCTACATCCCGGCCTATTGGAGCTCTACTTGTCCAGGACATAGATGGTGTTGAGAAACCAATCTATTACATCAGTCGCAAAGTCAATGGCCGCTGAATCACGGTACACCCCAGTTGAGAGGCATTATTTAGCCTTAATCTTCACAGCACAGAAGTTGCGTCACTATTTTTTGGCACACCCGATCCAGGTTATGACCAAGAGTGATCCAGTCTGCTACTTACTAAGTAAACCCACTCTGACTAGAAGAATGGCAAGATGGCTCTTGGCTCTAGCAGAATATGACATCACTTGTGTTACTCCCAAGGCTATTAAGAGCCAAGCACTCGCAGACTTACTAGCACAATTCTCATATGGTGAATATGAACCTGCAGAGGTACCTCTACTAGATGAGGTCCATGTCTCAGCAGCTGCAGTTGAGACTTATTGGGACTTAAAATTTGATGAAGCTTTTGGAGCTGGGAAAGGTGGAGCTGTCATAACACTAACTAGTCAAGAGGGAGAGAAGTTTCATCTATCATATAAGCTTGACTTTGAATGTTCAAACAACGAGGCCAAATATGAGGCGTTGATACTAGGTCTAATTGCTGCTCAAAAGAAAGGCCTCTACAAGTTGAAAATTTGGGGCGACTCCAAGCTAGTTGTCAAGCAAACAATGGATGAGTTTTCCTTGAAGGAGCCTCTGTTGGCCCCATATCACACCATAGTTCAAAGGTTGCTCACTTAGTTTAATAACGTCCAAATCCAGCATACCCCTCGAACACACAACCATTTTTCCGATGCCTTGGCTATACTGAGGGCAAAAGTGGATATACCAGATGATAGTATAGCCATCGTCATCGAGGAGTTTGCCTTGAAGGAGCCCCTGTTGGCCCCATATCACACCATAGTTCAAAGGTTGCTCACTTAGTTTAATAACGTCCAAATCCAGCATACCCCTCGAACACACAACCATTTTCCCGATGCCTTGGCTATACTGAGGGCAAAGGTGGATATACCAGATGATAGTATAGCCATCGTCGTCGAGAAAAGAACAACACCAGCAGTGTTAGCCGAAGAACATACATAACAAGATGCTGAGAGACGAAAAGCAGATATAATCCAGCAGCTGAAAACAGGCTAATGAACAATCAGACCAGCAGAACTTGCATTATTCCTGCTTCTCAAAGGAGAGTTGTATTTTCGTGGTCCCAACAACCTGTTAGCAAGGTGCATTGACAGACAAGAAGCAACTTATAGACTTAAGCAGATTCATGCTAAGTCTTGTAGAGATGGAGATATCAGTCTATACCAACGGATACAGAGATAAGGGTATTACTAGCTAGACATGGAAAAGGAAAGCACTAAGTTGCAGAGGCAATGTGTAAAATGTCAATTCCGGCTTGAAAATGAAGAAGCCCACTTCTTAAGCAGTGAGGAATGGAGACAGCCGTATATTAACTATCTTGGAAATGACACACTATCTGAGAACAAAATCGATGCAATTAGAGTTAAGAGGCGAGCCCTCTGCTTCTTCCTTGACCAAGGAAAGCTGTACTCTAGAAGCTTTGAAGGGGAACCTTTGGCGTGTTTATCAAAGGATGAGGCAAACAAAGTGCTGAAGGAAGCCCACAAAGTAGAACATCAAGGAGCGCAACGATTGTATCGGCACCTTATTCACCTCTGCTACTACTGGCCAACAATGGAAGAATATGCTAAAAACTTTGTAAAGAGATGCCAATCTTACCAGAAGTTTGGGAACTTAATACATGCACCAATGGTCGAACTACACAACATCAAGACTCCTTACCCATTTCATACTTGGGCATTTGACCTGGTAGGTCCTATAGCACAGCAATCTAAAGGGCATAGATGGATAATCGCAGCGACTGAAGTTAATACCAAGTGGGTAGAGGCTATACCAATGAGGAAGGCAGATGGGGCAAGAGTGGCCACTTTCATCAAAGACAACATAATCTGTAGGTTTAGCATACCCAAGGTGATGTTGTCTAATAATGAGACCCCCTTTGTGAACCTCCATATAGGAAGATTGTTGAACGCTTATCAAATCAAGCACCACAAGTCTACCACATACTACCTGCAAGGAAATGGACAAGTTGAGGCAACTAGTAAAACCCTTATCCGAATATTGAGTAAAATGATAGATGAAGCAGGGGGCACATGGTCCGAGTAACTCCTCATAGCACTCTAGGCATATAGAATGTCAAAAAGGAAGCCAACTCAGGTAACCCCATTTTCCCCAGTATATGGGTCCGAAGCTATGTTTCCAGTTGAGTTGGCAATACCCTCGACAAGAATAGCTATGTCAGCACACTTAGTCCTAGACAGTAGGAAGAATGACATAGAAGCAGCCGAAGAAAGAAGAGATCGGGCCTCGCGGGTGATGGAAAAGTATCATCAATCCATAGCTCGCGCTTACAATCAATTTGTTCAACACAGGGAGTTCAATGAGGAGGACTTGGTATGGAAAACAGTAGACGCAACCATGCGGAGGCAACCAATCCCCAAGTTCTCCCAAGATGGGAAGGCCCCTACAAAGTTGTTGAGGCAAGCAATAGCGGGTATTACAAGTTGACAAGAGTAGATGATGGGTTCAAAACTGGCCTTATCAACGTTAAGTATGTAAATAAGTATTTTCCTTAATTTCTTTTGTTTAGAAAAAGAGTTGTAAATTTATTTGTTAATACTTCCAAACCAAAGTGTAAAGAAAGTGTCATACACTTAGTAAACCTGTTACTCTTGTAAGCACTTGGTGTGAGGAAAGTTTTCCATACTTAGTGAATTTTTTATCCTTGTAAAAACCTAGTCATGCTGAAGTTCTATTTATAGCAAGAGTTTTGTTCAGCCTTAGAAGATATGTAAAGGCAATGAAAAGAAGGCAATGAAGTAAGACTCAATATCCTTGCTTCTCATAAAACATCAAAGTTTTCCATAGCATGATTACAATGATTCAAAAGGCAAAGGAGAAAGAAAAAGAAAGCAAAAGTGCAAAGGAAAAAGAGTCATAACAAAGCCACGATACATCAAATCAAGCCCTTCGTGAGGGAGTCCATCAGGGTCACATCTCGAGACAACTGAGCAACCAGCGCAGAGTCCTTTTCTTTGAACCGAGCTAAGTTTTGCCGATGTTTCTCCAAGGCACCCTCACACTCTTTGATAGTCTCTTCCAAGGATGCAATCATCGCCACATTGTCTGCATGCTCAAGGAAGCCCTCGACTGCCTAAAGCCTATCTCTCATCCACGATAAATCCAAACCATTCCTCTCAAAGCCGCTCAGATTGGCCTCAGCACTTTCCACGAACTTACTGGGAGTTGTCAGAATCTTCTTAGTAGCGAGGTTGCGAATGAAACTGGCAAGTGACTCTAGCAACGCTGTTTTACTATAGAGCTAAGAACATTAAAAGTGATAAAGGTGCCAGGGTATAGCGCCTGGATGTAGGCAAGAGTAGGAGCAACTTAGGAGGAGACCCAATAACTTAGAAAAGAAACTTTCCCTGAGGACTGAGGAGACTCTCTCACGGCGCCACCAGCTTCAATTATTGGGGGGAGACTAGCAACATGACCAAAGGTTTATGGACGATGCATCTCCCCTGAAGATGACTATCCAGTAGCATTGGAATGAGTAGATGCTGGGAGGCGATCGGATGAATTAACCTCGCAAGAAAGACCAAAATTTCCTGCACCATCATGTCACTCCAAAAAGAGATCGTCCATATGGTAGCCTTAACCTTCAGATCTGGCACAACAGTGGTGTCCATGCCCACATAAGAGTCTCGTGATCCCCCAAGATTAGCTGGCACCTCAAGGAAGTGAGTAGGGTACAGATCAGCAAGCTGCTTAAAAGTTGCTGAGGCAACTGGGTCAAAAGCATCAGCAGCAGCAGTAGCACTATGAGTGACCAAGTTTGGAGGGCCCACAGTAGGAACAGCAACTACATCTGCTCCTCTCTCAGCAATCTGAACATTGGGAAGTGGGGTCTATTGAACCAATGAAGACTCAGTGGACTGGAAAGAACCCCCAGATACAGCTTCCAAATGGGGTGGTGCAACTTCCAGTAGCTCTCTTGCGCTATGCTCTTCTCTTGGAGTCTCGAGAATAAAATCATCCCCGCCGATGGAGGAACAGTCAGAATGAATAGAATCAGCAGGGTTTGGAGGTTTTGCACCCTCAGCAACTACACCACCCACTGCAACTTCCACAACAGGGGGACTTGTTCGTTTTTAGCAAAGGGGTATTACGACCTCCTTCCATGTCTGCAACCTCAGTATCTGGCTTAAACTTAACAACTGGCTCAGCCTCAGTAGTTGGTTCAGCCTCAGCACTTGGTTCTTCTTCAACATTTGGAAGTACCATCTTGCGGGTTTTGAGTTTTGTGACCCTTGAAGCAATGGGAAGGTCGTCGTCGTCGTCTGAATCTGAGGAATTTTGATGGCAGTAAAAGAACCTCTGGGGCCCGAGGATGGCTAGCTGATGGGCCCTGAAAAGGAAAAAGATCATGTGAATACTAAAGTGAAGATAAAAAGCCCAAACAAGTATAAAAAATACAGAATATTTTCCAAGTATGGATACCTTCCGGAGTCTCTTCCTACTTGGTGAGGCACGGGCCTTAGCAACTGATGTCGTTGCCTCCTAGACTACTCTCAAGCAGGAACGGGCCATGCGCACTGATGTACCGATTTGAGGAGGAGTAACTTACAGAGGCTAAACAGATATTGCCCTAGATGGATGAGGCTCCTCTACTACAGGCAAGAACAAAAGCTTGAAACTGCAAAATACACTGGTCTGCTTCCCCCGACCAGAGGGGAAACGAAGGGATAAATCAAGTTGGGAAATGAGTTCCATTGCAGGAACAATTGGATCATTGTTGCAAAAATTGTAGAAGGAGTTGAGATTGCGATGCCAGAATAATCTGTTACTAGGAGTGAAGGTGCCTTCTCTTCCGAGCAAGGGCAGCTCTATGAGGCCTAAATCCTCTACAAGTAAAGCAGTATAATCACGAGCAAATTGCTAAAAGCTCTGATGGAAATCTGCCTAAGGCGGAGGAGCATGCGGGACACCCTGATCCATGCCAAACTACCTAAGGACCCTGTCCGGTCGATAGACGACGCTAGACAAGCCCTCCTCGTTCCATACAAACAGAAATCTAGGGCGTATCATAGCAGCAATAAAGAGGGAGTTGGCCTAGACACTATCGAGAGAGAAATCAACACGACGGGCCTCAGAGAAATAAAATGGAACAACAGAAATCCTTGGAAGAAGCTGGGTAACGGGGCAGAACAAGCACTCTTCTATGCGGTCAATGTAGTCCACAAAGGGTCTGTTGGTGCCAACACCAGACCACCTGGAGATGCGAGAGAGGGAATGGCTCACTTGCCTTATGATGGGCCATTCCTTATATCTAGGACAGGACGACCTTCTACATCAAGGACTTCGTCGGTAAAAAATGGCCCATGCTCTTTGGGCGCCCATAGTAGGGAACCGCTCATAGAAAAAAACGGTCAAGAATTGAGTATGAACGAAGTTCCATACATTATAGCAGCCCATGGATCTCTCCACGTCCCATTGAATGAGGTCCAGACGAAAGTATAAATTTCCCAAGAAAAGATGAGCCTATGGGATCTGATTGTTGCTATAAAGTTTGACAGCAAGCAGGAACACCAGAGGATTTATGCTCTCAGCAGGGTTACTAGAGAGGACAAAAAAGGAGATAAAATAGCTAACAAAAG